TCACCAAGTCCAAAAGCAGCCCAGATATCTCTGGTGTGCTTTCACTCTCCACTCCTTGCCCACAACCATGATGATATTCCTAAGTGATCAGTAACTCAGTCAGAATGTAGCCTCTGAGTCCTTCTCAACACAGTACCTCAAGGAACCACTATGAACATATCATTTGGTCGTGAGAAATGAAATCCAAACCACTCATTCCTCGGCTGAGAAAAACTGAACAACAAAGATGAGCCAGGACTGCACAGGTCTCACTATGAGGAGCAGACCTGGAACTATCAAAGCCCCTTACCCCATACTCCTAAGTCATTTCTCCTCCTTTAACTCTGGTAGTCTGTGAACAGCCCTTAGAGTAGGAGTGGGGGGTTGCTATTGTACTAAGTTCCATAAGAGATACAAATAAAGCGTTTCTAACAAGGGGCAGGAGCAGCATAGGAGGCTTAGAGGAAGATGTGCATCTGAGCTGGCCACAGGAGGATGCTATTTGTAGGAACCAGTGGAGTATGCCTTTAGGAGAAGAAAAGTTAGGATTCGGGTGAGAGTTCCAGCAGAAGAAATAGCATAAGCAGAGGAACGGTGAGGACTGTGGAGTGCTGAGCCGAGGTGAATAGCAGCTACATACAGAGGTCATGGAGGGTGGCATCGGGGGCTGGGGAACAAAGAAAATGACAAGATTAAATGAGTAACCAGAGACTTTGTGGAGTTGTAAATGCTGAGTTTTAAAAATTCACTTAGAGGCCTTAAGTGTCATAAACGGAAAAAGAAAATTTAAAAAGGAGTGGAAGGAAAAGAAAAGAATAAATCCATTCTCAGTTGCAGTGAGCCAATATTGCACCACTGCACTCCAGCCTGGGCAACAGAGTGAGACGCTGTCTCAAAAAGATTAAAAAATATATATATATATATCTCCATTCTCAATGGGATAAAAAAGCCTTGCTATAAACTGTATTACAGGAATACTTTCATTATGTAAAAGCCTATTCTGTTTTCATGTCATTCTTAGATTACATCATAGAGTGGCGGCAGCCATCTCGTACCATATTATAAATAAATCACCGGCTTAATCATAGAATGAGCCAGAGCCCCAGATTTAAAAGGAAAATATTAGATCATTTTTAATAACTGATATAACTCAAGCCAGTTGCCATTGAACCAGGGTGAGGTGATCTCATCCTGAAGAAGTCCAGAAAAGACCCAAAACAGGTCAGAGCTGAGCAGGTCCCAGAGACACTTCCATATACAGATGAAGAGGTTGCTAATGGCACCTGAGTAGAGTTCACCCTCTGGACTAGACAGTCTTGTCATTAAAATCTACACTTACGGCTGGGCCTGGTGGCTCATGCCTGTAATAATCCCAGCACTTTGGGAAGCCGAGATGGGCAGATCACGAGGTCAAGAGATCGAGACCATCCTGGCCAACATGGTGAAACCCTGTCTCTACTAAAAAATACAAAAGTTAGCCAGGCATGGTGGTGCGCGTCTGTAGTCCCAGCTACTCGGGAGGCTGAGGCAGGAGAATTACTTGAACCCAGGAGACAGAGACTGCGGTCAGCCGAGATCGCGCCACTGCACTCCAGCCAGGTACCTGCTGACAAAGCAAGACTCTGTTTCAAAAAAAAAAAAAAAATCAACACTTACTTTTAAGTAGTAATGCCCAACAGGTCTTCCTCGTGAAACACAGTATATAAGGATTTTGATGCCAGGGCCACTATATATCCAAGTATCAGAAAATATGAGCACATTGTGATGTTTTTACTTATGTCTTGGGAGTCATTATGCAAAACTAGAAATGTTGAGGCTATTAGTTATTCAGGAAACGTGAATCTGGGGTGACCGACACGCAAATGCCGCAGGTCTGGGCCAAGCTAAGGGGACAGTGTAAAGAGAATATGAGATAATGGCCTAACAAAGAAAAGAACTAAGGGTGATCTCCAGCAAAGGGCTAAAGACTCTTAAGGGTGATCAGAAACTAACATTTAATGTATACCCACTACGTGAGAAGTGCCACACTCAATAGGCACCTTATAGATACCGTGCTGCTTTGAGAGCATCCATGAAGTAGGCACTATTCACGCCACGATTTGTAGAAGTGAAAACAGGTTAAAAACCTAAGTGAACTACATAGGATTCTGTGACTAATGTGACAGTCTTCCTACTCCAAATTCCTCTTTACCATGTTTTCCTTGTCCAACTAAAACTCTATTTCCTACCACGTACTTTTTTTATGTTTTTGTTTTTGGAGATGGAGTTTTGCTCTTGTGGCCCATGCTGGAGTGCAGTGGCACAATCTCGGCTCAATGCAGCAACCTCTGCCTCCCGGACTCAGGGGATTATCCTGCCTCAGCCTCCCAAATGGCTGGGATTACAGGTGCCCACCACCACACCTGGCTAATTTTTGTATTTTTAGTAGAGACAAGGTTTCACCATGTTGGCTAGGCCGGTCTCGAACTCCTGACCTCAGGTGATACAACCGCAGTGGCCTCCAAAATTGATGGAATTACAGGCATGAGCCACCGCACCCAGCTTCTACTATGTACTTTTATTAAAAAAGAAATAATTGATAGAAAACACTTAAAGAATAGGAATAGCTGGACAGGCATGGTAGCTCACGCCTATAATTCTATCACTTTTGGAGGCCGAGGCAGGTGAATCACTTGAGGTCAGGAGTTCAAGACCAGCCCGACCAACATGGTGAGGTCCCCTCCCTACTAAAAATACAAAGGAAAAATAGCCAGGTGTGGGTGTCATTAATCCCAGCTACTCAGGAGGCAAAGGCAGGAGAATTGCTTGAACCCTAGGAGGTGGAGGTTGCAGTGAACCATCCCACTGCACTCCAGCCTGAGTGAAAGAGCGAGACTCTGTCTCAAAAACAAAAATAACAAGATGAATATTAAAAAAAACATGCTGAGAGTTGAAGGGGACCATGGAGCAGGCACAGCAGGATTCACATTCTGGTCACCCACATTCTCAGTGACCAAAGCTGCGCTTTCCTCATTTGGACTGTAAAGTCACTAAGTTTGACCATAATTTTAAGGCTCCAATTTTCATTAATTTTTCTAGTTATGTGAAAATGGACCCTGAGGGAACCTGTCATCTTCTATAACATAAACTGCCAAGCTTGATTTTGAAAGGGACTCCTTTGGTAGGGGAAGAGAAGGATGCTCTGGAAAAGAAACTCCCTGCCAGACAGAGGGTATTGGCTGAGGTTTTCTGTCTGGTCTTGTCAGTCTCAAAGTAATGTTGTATATCAGCTCTCTGGTCCTAATACAAATGTTATTCATCACTGCAGAGACACACTGTCTCAGCCACGTAATATTGATTTATGCAACTTTTCAGGACACAGCATGGGAGACGCAGACCCCTGAAATTTACCTAAAGGGACAAAAATCAAAGCTCAAGACTCCAATTTTTGACCTATTTTTCCCAATCTGTTTCTGGGACAAGAGAGAGGTTGAGAAAAGAAAAAAAATATGCCTAAAAGTTGCATAGACTCATTAGGCAGCAGAGACTGTATGGAGTAGTAGAAGGCGGGGCATGGAGAGGAGCTGCAGATGGCTCGTCCCTTGACTATCCCTGGCTCTGTGGCCCTGCAAAGCCTGTCCCCTTTCCAAGTCTTGGTGCCTCACGCATAGAACAAAGGGCTCAAGCAAGAACTTTTAGGCATTTCTACCAAAGCAGCTCTAACTGCTGAGGAGGGCAAAAATGCAGAGGTAAGGGAACACAGCATGAATTGAAAACTTGTGCTTTTCCTCTCAAAAGCCGTGCCACTTTTACAGCCTGTGCTATTGTGTATCTATGTTTCTGTCAAGAGTTTTAAATTAAGTTTTCCCCAAAAAATGTCTCCAAGTAAAACTGATCCACAGAGGTGTGCTGGGTTTATTCAGTAGCTTCAGGCAACCCCCAGGACCACCTTAGCACACCCATGTAAACCCGGGGTATCTGTGGTAAGCAGCCCCTAAGATGGCTCCACATAACTCCACCACCTGGCATTCACACCCTTGTACAATCCCTCCCCTTCAGTATGGCCTGGATTTAGTGACTCACTTCCAGTGAAAAGAATGAGGCAGAGGGAACAGCCTGTCACCTCCAGGATTAACTTATAAAAAGACCGTGACTTGCCTCTCGGGGTCTCTCTCTTGCTCACTCACTTTGAGGGAAGACAGCTGCTACATGTGGCTGCCCTATGGAGAGTCCCCCATCGCAAGAAACTGAAGTCCTCAGCCCAGTCATCTGTGGGGAACTAAATCCTGACAACTATCGTGTGATGAGAGTGGAAGCAAGTAGAGCTTCTGGAGTTCAGCCTTCTGGTGAGACGGCAGGTCCAGCAACACCTGGCCTGCAATGTGGTGAGAGATTTTGTGGCACCCATCCAAGCTGCTTCCAAATTTCAGACCTACAGAAACTGTGACATAGTATTAATCAATGCTTCTTTTTTTTTTTTTTTTGAGACTCTCACACGGTCGCCCAGGCTAGAGTACAATGGCACCATCTCGGCCTACTACAACCTCCACCTCCTGGGCTCAGGTAATTCTCCTGCCTCAGCCTGCTGAGTAGCTGGAATGATGCCACCATGCCTGGCTAGTTTTTGTATTTTTAGTAGAGACGAGGTTTCACCACGTTGGCCAGGTTGGTCTCGAACTCCTGACCTCAAGTGATCTGCCTGCCTCAGCCTCCCAAACTGTAGGATTACAGGCATGAGCCACCATGCCCAGCCTCTTGATTTACAGTGCTAAGTTGGAGATAATTTATTATACAGTAATAGATAACTAATATCACATCAAAGTTTTAAATGCCCAGACCTGGATTATTTTAATGGCCACCATTTTTCATGAAGCATAGGAAGTAGATCATAAGAAATTCAATAACAGGAACTCTTGAAAGAAATCTTCATCCCCAAAACCACAGAGATGTATTCCAGCTTGGTGACATACACACACCACGCTCATGCCATAGAGAGATGACCATGGATGTAATCACATTGCCCCACAAAGTCAACACAGTACCTTCTGCAGCAGCATGTTGGTGGGAAATGAGCTGGAGACTGAACTAGATGTGGGAGGTGAGAGACTTCTTGCCTGTCCAGCTGTATTCTGGTATCAGCTACATCTGCCTTTACAACCTGTCCACTTCAGTGGTCCAAACTATGGCCACAGGCCCAACCTGCAAACCACCTGGGCTTGCATCATAAAGCTCCATGGCTCACTGAGTTCCGTGGCTCACTTGTGTCATAAAACTCCATGACTCACTGAGATCAGATTCAATCGTCCTGGAAACCTTCCCCAATGTTTCTCCACTCTCCCAATCCTTCATCAATACCCCATCAGATCTGAGACTATGATTTACCTCAATTTTCCAAGCACTGAGCCTAAGGCCTGAAACCTATCTGATGATTAATAAATGTGTACCATAAAGAATATGTCTCTAATATGTATTTCTTTCTTAGGTATTTATCTTTTTCCCTGATATAAGCTTCTTGAGGTCAAGGACTAAGCCTAATTCACATAGTTTCCTAAAGATCACGAGGTTCACGAACATCCAGACAACACCGACATCAGGGCAGCAAACACATACTCTATGAACCAGGGGTAAAATACTTGGCTGCAATCTACAAAGGTCTTTCTATCCATTCAGACTTCAGAACCTGTCTACCACACAGCAACCCAATGAGGAAGACCTGAGAATTCGGATCCCCTAAAGCCATGGCTAAGGTAAAGTAGAGGTATATCCACAGTGTCAGAAGCCAAGAAATAGAAGAATATGGAATCAGGAGGAAGGAAGCAAAAGAGAGAAGGAGATATCACTACTTTTTACTTTCATGGATAGGACACATAGCTCCTACAACACATCCCTGGGTTACATGATGAACCATAGAGTTTCGGGAGACTGGATAGATCACTGCTCAGACCTGACAAATCCTCTTGTAAGTTTTGAAGCAAATAATGTAAAAGCAATAAAAGCTGGCTGAGCAAACGCTCACACGTGCCCAGAAAGCACCTGACTGAGTAAAGACAGACAGCCAAGACATTCACCTCTGACGGAAGTGACCAATGCTTTGCTTCCGGCGGAGACTAATACTGATACTTCTGAGGCCCAAAGAGGAAATATTAAACCTGAAAGCCCTTGGCTACTGTCGGCAATTGTAAACTGGTATCAACAGAGGGAAATAATTTCCTTCCTGACTCCCACTGGGCCAGTCACGCCTGGAGCAGGTGTGATTATCTCATCTAACAAAGTAAGAAGCTAAATGGGCTGAACTGAAGCTTCTATGGGGTCCCTCAAGCACTGAGACTCCTAGGTTTCTGAATTCACCTCCCTCCACCTCCTGTCTCAGGCAAAAATGAATGTGAAAAATAATAATAGATAATTCTACTTTGATTTTAACCAATATTATTAAGCAACATTGCAGGTCTAGCTGCAGGACTGAGGACAAGTTCATGCCCATCCAACCCTGAGGAGAATGAGCTGCAAGGTTGGCAGGAAGGACATACGCTGAGCATGTATAATGTTCCGGATACAGTGCTGGGCACTGGGCGTACATTGTCTTTTTCATTATATTCAAGATGAGTCTTTAAGAAAGAAAACAACTGTAATAACCTATCATATAGGAAGCACACTTTATAGTTTACCAAGCAGGTTGGCATTTAACAATGTGCTTGCTCTAAGCACACATGAGAGGTAGGCAGGGCAATGATTATTGTTTCTAATTCTCAGATCAAAGAAAATAAACGTGAGAGGATGTTGTTCTTCTAGAGTTGCATATCTCATACTTATCAAGACTTCTGTTATGCCATCCCACCATACTCACTGCCTTGTTATGCATTCACAAACTTCTTAAGTCATGTGGCCCCAGAAGTCTTTTTCTGTCCAGTCATTTGAGTTTTTTGCTTGTTTAGCTGTAGAAACAGGGTCTTGCCACATTGCCCAGGCTGGTCTCAAAATCCTGGCCTCCATCGATCTTCCTGCCATGGCCTCCCAAAGCCCTGGGCTTACAGATGTGAGAGCCCATGCCCAGCCTGTCCAGTCACTCATTTCATTCTCAGAAAACCCATAGTCTGGCCTCATCTGTGCTACAGTTCCTAAAACTCCCCAATGGAGCGTCAGCCAACACCTGATAGAACACCCTTTAGGAAAGAGACCCTCACTACCTTCCGAATTATTCTACCCATAAAAATGCACGTTGTACCTATCCCATGCCAGAGACCCCAGCAGACTCTGGAGACACACACATGAACAAGTGATGCTGGCCTTCTCCTGCCCAGGTTTTATGTTCTCGAAGACCATGAGCACGTGTGCCCCAGAATCCTGCGGCAGAATCCACGGTCTCATTCCCATAACAGTTCTCGGTTGGCCATCATTCCTGGTTCTCTCAGAAACCTCTTGTAGACAGTCCAGCTGGCTCGTGCCTTTTCAGAAGGTGAGGCAGGAACTAAAGCCCAGCTCTCTAGAGGGGCTCTGACTGGAGGTTAAAGAGGTTTGCAGAAGGCCTATGGTTGCCCGCAGAGCTTCCAGTCCTGTCTCCTTCTCCTAATAGCACCCAGATACGCCTTTAAGGGGCCACCTGTCCTCCACTGTGAATGCCCCGTGAGATTTGGAAGGGACTGTGTCCAAATTCAGTTACAGGAGAATCCTGGGTCATATTAGCATAATCCCATTCTCTTGGCTCCAATGACTGGTTCAGAAATACACAGTCAGCCAAACCTATGATAATACAGCAAACCAGGCTCTTTCCCTAGAATGGGAAGAGGGATGTCTATGGGTTTCAGCAAGCAGCCATCTCATGACCCATGATGTAAAATATTCCAAGGATGAATCCCAGGCATAAAAAAGGGCAGAGCAAGAAGCACTGCAGAGAAACAGAGCTGGAGTCCTGTTCAAACTGTGGCTGAGGCTCACATGACCTCTGGACTTACCAGCTTCCAAGCGTTCTAGGTTTGCAGAATCACCCACCCACTTCATTTTAGATGCCATACCCTACTGAATGCAGGCTAAGACCTCTTCAGCATCTTAGAAGCCACTCCCAACTGCTGGCTCATAATTAGCTTATGAACAACAAAAATTCCTAGGTCTTTTCCAGTTCTCTCCTGTTAAAAAAAAAATCTCTCCCATTCTGTCATTACACACTTGATTTTTTAAAACCCAAGTGCAAAGCTTCATATTTGTCACAGTTTAATTATAAACACTGAAAAATCTCAAGATGTAGGGCAGGTGACAAAGAGTTTTCATTTGAGACTTAAACTGTATGCTAAGGGGAAAACATTCACGACCGTGGTTGAAATTTTAACAGACACTAGGGTTTATGCATCAAACCAGTGGTTCCCAGCCTTTTATGTTATATAGATCAACAGGCACAGAGTCAGCTGTACTTTTAAGATACACTGATTAAGACAGAGAGACAAAACACAACTGTAAGCTCAGTCACACTTTTAAATGAAGTTCATTTCTTTTTTCAATCGCAACAGCATCTTCTCTGTTCTGAAAAACTACACCACAAATATGTGAAGTGTACTGTTTACACAGTACAATGCCATTGCTGGGGGCATACATGAATTGGCCTCAGCACGGGGACTATCGATCCGGGATGCTAAGTGGAAGTCTCACCCAGAATTCGCTGGTTCATTTCCTCAGCTCTCCTTACAGCCCAGGGCATTCCACACTGTTGATTCTTTCCACCACCCCCATTTTTTAGAACATGGCATTTTACTCTACCCACTAAGTACAGAAGCGCTCCAAAGCACAAGGGAAAAATTCACCTTACCTGCTCATGGTTCTCCTTCCTGAGCACATAACAGGATTTGCATACACATCCCGATGAAGCTCTAGCAGGCCCTTTAATACAAAGGCTCACACCCTATGCCTAAGCATATTTAGCCTACCCTGCCCCAAAGGGTTGATACAAAAATAAAATGAGGCTGAGCAGGGTGGCTCACACCTGTAATCCCAGGACTTTGGGAGGCTGAGGTGGGTAGATCACCTAAGGTCAGGAGTTTGAGACCAGCCTGGACAACATGGCAAAACGCTCTCTCTACTGAAAATACAAAAATTAACCAGGGATGGTGGTATGTGCCCATAGTCCCAGCTACTCGGGAGGCTGGGGCAGGAGAATCGCTTGAACCTGGGAGGCAGAGGTTGCAATGAGCCAAGATTGTGCCACTGCACTTCAGCCTGGGCAGCAAAGCGAGACTCTGTCTCAAAAAAATAAATAAATAAGATAAAATGAGATCACAAAAGCAGCAGCACCTTGCACAAGGGTAAACAAGAGACACTCAATAATAATATTGCTTTCTTTCCTCATAAATGCCAAAACACTATTCAGTGACATTTTCATTTCGGTCTTTCCATTTCATGAACACTTTCTTCCATGCCAAATGAGAAAGAAGGAAGCAATGCAATTACTGGCAACCTGAAATCATTACTCCAAATTTTCTTCCAGTTTCAATGTATGCCACCTTCCAAGAGCTGAGCTCTGCCTTTGCTTTGCCACACATTTTATTAGCACGACTATATATTGTCTATTGCCATAAAAACAACTCAGGAATGAAGGAAGGACATTTCAGTTCTTCTCTTGTTCTTAATGCATCCTAGTTACTGAAGCCCATACTTTAAGTGGAAAACACTAATGTTTAAAACTCACGAACACATGCACATTGATTTTAAAAGGCAAACGTATTACTTTTGCGTGTGGAACTCACCAATTGAGGAAAAGTATCTTCCCTCTGATGAGCATCCAGTAGAACAACAATAAAAGCAGAACACGGGGAATCAGATGACCAGATGCTGTCTTCTGCTGTCTCTGAGCGTCAAAGTTCTCACCTATGAAAGAGAGAAGAAGGGTGTTGCTTATGTATCTCTAGGGTCTTAACCAGCTTCAGAAATTCCCAGGTTTATAAAGCCTCTGACTAGGCTGTGGCTTACTTCTACACCTCCTAAACCCCTAGTAAGATCCTGGAACTCTTATTTCAGTAATTTGTCTCAGAATGATGGGAATAAAATGCTGATGTCTCAGTGTTCATATGTCAGCTCTCGTAGCTCCCCTGGGAAAACAGCTTGGTCTTAATAATGGGGGTGAAAGAGATAAGGCAGATACTCATGTTGTAGGGAAGAAAAAGATTAACAGATAAACCTATAGTATACCAAATTAAAAAAGAAAAGGAATCTGAGTTTGAAGAAAACCTTCTAACTATAGGACCTAGTGCCTTTTGAACTTTAGTTTCCTTGCCTGAAAAGTGAGAGTCAGTGAGCAGCACAGGGATGAACAGTCTTGACACTTCTTAGTAAGTCACCCTTGATATCATTTGGATATGTGTCCTCTCCAAATTTCATGTTGGGTTGTAACACCTGCTGTTGGAGGTGGGGCCTCTGGGAGGTGACTGGGTTGTAGAGGTCGATTTCTCATGAATGGTTTAGCACCACTGCCTTGGTGCCGTCCTGATGATCAGGAGTGCGTTCTCATGAGATCTGGTGATTTAAAAGTGTGTGGCAACTCCCCTGCCTACGTCCCCTCTTGCTCCTACTTTCACCATATGACACACCTGCTCGCCCTTTGCCTTCGGCCGTGAGTAAAAGCTCCCTGAGATCTCCCCAGAAGCCAAGCAGATGCCAGTGCCATGTTTATACAGCCTGCAGAACCATGACTCAGTTAAGCCTCTCTTCTTTATAGACCGACAAGCCTCAGATATTTCTTTATAGCAGTGCTAGAATAGCCTAATACAGCCCTTATTACAGGTTTTATTTCATTATGAACTATTACTGTTTTGCTAACGATTACACAGTATGTATTCCAACAGACAAGTATTCCAAGGCACGAGCTGTTATAAAACTTGCCTTTCATGAACGCAGGAGAAATCCACATACCAGAAAAACTACCACACCCATTTCATTGTTGTCACTGTAAACATTACCTAACCAATCATACAATTGTTTTGTGCATATTATCTCACTCAGTCTTCAAAGACCCACACAAGTTCAAAGTTGGGAGAGATTTTTTAAATGAACCACCTTAACTTTTCCAACTGACAAGAGAAGCTGGTGGCCTGGGTAAGGAGGTGGCTGCTTCCGGTGCCCACTAGCGCTGGCAGGCAGCCCAGTGCTTCCTCCACTGGATCAACTCTGCAAGGAGAAACTTTGGTTTCATGCAGCTTGTGGATGCATGAAAAAGCGGGCAAAGCCTGCCCGCTGTGACAAAATACACCAAAACACGCCGGACACCAAAAAGCACTGTGCTTCGTCACACAAGTCACACCTAGAGCCAAACCAGGACTTAGACATCCAGGCCCCCAACACTTGCTTCAACACCCTCCCAGTAATGTCAACCGCAGAAATTAAGTAGGCAAAATGGAGTATCATCAAGATCAGCACAGAAAAGCAAGGAGTTTTCTGAGACCTAGTGGTCTTCAAGGACCTTGGAATTCTCAAAGCCATTTCCACTGAAAGGAGAGAGATGCATAATTTTAAACTTTAAACTGCTGAGAAATGGGTTGTTAGGAAACCAGCACTATAACTGCGTACAGTGAAATTTCAAAAAAAAAAAAAAAAAAGGTTGCCCCTATCCTCACCCACAAGCTGCATGAAACCAAAGCTTCTCCTTGCAGAGAGAGATACAAATCACAATAGTTTCTACAACAGCAGCAAAGGGCATCTGACTTGCCAGATTTTTAAACTTCACCGAAAGGAAGAGCTCTCCACCTTGGTCCTGAGGGAGTCTCACTCACTCACACTCTCCAGCTTCCTTCCATGCACAAACGAAAGTGGTCTCCCTTTTCCATAGCCAATTTCTCTTTTAATAATTTTTTCTCCTTTTCCATAAAGAGAATAAGCAGCTTTGCTAAAGAACCGCTGTGAAATGATTGAAGTTCCCATGCAAACAAACCATTAGCAGAGTTCAAATGCAATTTAAATTACCAGTTGTTAAAGTGCTTCTCAATTTCGTGGTAAGTTTCCAAGGAGAATTACACGCTATATACTATTTAATTGGTTGTTTTCTATTTTTTAACATCCATTTATCCCCCCACCCCATTATATTTCAGAAGTGTCTATAAAAGCTTCCCTTTAAAAAAGTATACATTGTTGAATAGATTAAATCTGAAGATTGAAAAGTATCAGAGAAACAGCTGCAGGATCACGCAGCTCAGCAGAAATTAGTGGTTTTGACACCATAAAACATGCAGAATTTTAAAATCTTAGGAATCACCTCTTGGTGCCCTCACTCTTGACAGCTAAAGGCACTGAATTCCCAAAAGGGAATGAAGGAGTTGGCCTGAAGTCCTTTTCCTGGTCAGCAACAGATTCAAGACAAGAAGCATTGCTCCAAACTCCCAGCACCCACCACCTCTTCCACTTGGTTGCCTGTAAATGGCAGAGGAAGATGGTATGAAATAGCCAATAAACTTGATTTTCCACTTGTATTTTTTTAAGGAAAATATAAAACTCTCTTCAAATATACTCCTGACCTCAAACATTATGAGCAATGGCAAGTATCTCTCCAAAAGAGAAGAAAGTTAGTAAAGGCTGATGAATGAGTATAGTCAAGGAACTCAAAAACAAGAGACATTATGAGCAGATTCTTGGCAGGAAAAGTCAAGACACTCATCTAGATTCATTAAACAAGTTATGTGACATCAAGACTGCAGATTTTCACAGTTCTATCTGGCCCTGAATTAGTGCAGCCCCCAGAGACAGAGAAAGAGAGGATAAAAAAATCAACAATGTGAAAGGAAGTCTTGTCATATCTGTAAATAAAAAGGATTTCTAGAAGCCATCAGGAGGGCAGTTTGAAGTTCCAGGCTTTGATATTGGACTTGTGTAAATGATTTTCACCTCTCAAAGCTCAGGCTTCTCTGTCTGCAAAATAGGGTTAATACCATCTCCCCATCAAGGTATATGTATTCATTTCCTGGGATCTCACATCTAGCATGTATAGCACAAAGCCTGCGTACAATATGCACTAATTTACATTCACCCCTTTCTAAGGCTTTTACAATTTCTCAAAGCCTGTAGTTCTGTGATTCTAATTTATATGGACTAAAACCATGTCTTGTAAGCTATGCATATTCCCTAAGTCTGTTAGGATGGAGTCTTGCTCTGTCGCCAGGCCAGAGTGCAGTAGTGTGATCTCAGCTCACTGCAACCTCTGCCTCTCTGGTTCAAGAGATTCTTCTGCCTCAACCTCCCAAATAGAGTAGCTGGGACTACACGCGGGCACTACCACACTCAGCTAATTTTTGTATTTTTAGTAGAGATGGGGTTTCACCATATTAGCCAAGATGGTCTCAACCTCTTGACCTCATGATCCACCCACCTTGACCTCCCAAAGTGATGGGATTACAGGTGTGAGCCACTGTGCTTGGCCCTTGGAAATGCTATTTTAAAATGGCCTCCAAATCCACATTTCGAAGCACACATGCTAATAAAATCTAAATTTCATATCCAAGACATTATTTAAACTTTCTATCAACCTATTAGAAAAATTTCCCAATTGAACTCTGAGGAAACTGAGGAACAGGGAAGTTAGGCCCTTGCCCAATATCTCCAGGCTAGCAAGTGGTAAAGCCAGGATTGAACACAAGTATTCAAGATCATGTCTCATGCCACGGGCTTTATTAATTTATAATTGTAACTATAATATAGACCGTTCTTCTGCCAGAAGTGGAAATATACCTTTACAACTCCTGCTATTTTCCCATTTCAGGGAGCTTTGGGATAAAAGCAAGGCCTACATTTAAAAGTGTTTTTTTAAAAGTTCATGTTAACAGCAGGTAAATCTTTCCTGAATTCTACCTTGCTGTTATGTTCTTTTTTTTTTTTTTTTTTGGGACAGAGTTTCGCTCTTGTTACCCAGGCTGGAGTGCAATGACGCGATCTCGGCTCACCGCAACCTCCACCTCCTGGGTTCAGGCAATTCTGCTGCCTCAGCCTCCTGAGTAGCTGGGATTACAGGTACGCACCACCATGCCCAGCTAATTTTTTGTATTTTTAGTAGAGACGGGGTTTCACCATGTTGACCTGGATGGTCTCAATCTCTTGACCTAGTGATCCACCCGCCTCGGCCTCCCAAAGTGCTGGGATTACAGGCGTGAGCCACCGCGCCCGGCCTGTTATGTTCTTAAGTGAAATAAAAAGCTCCGAACCCTGGCACTAAGTAGACATTTACTGGAATGTGGGAAACAGACTTGAGCAAGGTTAACAATTAGCTGATATCAGACCAATTCAAAAAACAGAATTCAAATGGCTGGGCTCATGATCAAACAAACCATGGGGACCCCAGCCTGGGCTATGGAAAACTTCTCTGGCACAACTGTTAACAGAATGTCACGTTCTCCATTCAGAGGTGTACCAAAGAGAGGTTTGCTAACACCTCCCATCTTTGATAAGGCAGTGCGTGGACCTAGCAGGTGTAGGTGCAGAGTTGGACATGCCTAGGAGTGTTGAAGAGCCTCAGTGTGGGGACACACTGGAACACACGAGACAGAATGAAAAGCGCCTAAAAGCACGAGTACATGCAATGTCCTTTCGAGTGTTTAAAAGTTCTCTGCAGATGATGTAACTTCTAAACGAAGCCTGAACACCCAAGAGGATTTCTTGGATGAGGAGGAGGGAAATAGCCCCAGGGAACACAATGTGCAAAGGCCTTGAGGAGATGAG